ATAAAAATATAAATAGATGAAAGAACAAGAAATGATTGTAACAGGATGCTGTTACGAAGTCTCCCAAACGAAGCTCCCATAATTCGTAATTCCCAGGGTCGCCTGACATTGGGCAACGTCCAGTGAAAATTGGTTTGGTCCAGTAAAGTTATATGCATTAGTGATGCCTGGGGACTAACCTTGTATATCATTCAAATCATCTTGGCATGACAAACCAGAATATATATGGTTTAGGGGTGGGGATCTCGACCATTTACAAGATACTAGAACATTGGGGGTGGGGAGGAACCCCTGGGGACTGGCCCTATACGTCATTCAAATGTTCATTACATGATGAACAGGAATATATATAGTTTAGGGGTGGGGATCTCAGCCATTTACAAGATATTAGAACATTGAGGTGGGGGAACCCCTGGGGACTGACCGTATACGTCATTCAAATGTTCGAGACATGACAAATAGGAATATATATGGTTTAGGGGTGGGGATCTCAACCATTTACAAGATATTAGAACTTTTTCAAATGGCAGGGGGTCGGGATGACCCCTGGGGACTAACCCTGTATATCTTTCAAACCATCTTCGCATGACAAACCAGAATATATATGGTTTAGGGGTGGGGATCTTGACCACTTAGAAGATATTAGAACTTTCTTAAATGGCAGGGGGTAGGGTGACCCCTGGGGACTAACCCTGTATTTCATTTGATGTGCTTTATCATGACAAACCAGAATATATATAGTTTAGGGGTGGGGATCTCGACCATTTACAAGATATTAGAACTTTCTCAAATGGCAGGGGGTCGGGATGACCCCTGGGGACTAACCCTGTATATCATTCAAACCATCTTAGCATGACAAACCAAAATATATATGGTTTAGGGGTGGGGATCTTGACCACTTAGAAGATATTAGAACTTTCTTAAATGGCAGGGGGTGGGGTGACCCCTGGGGACTAACCCTGTATTTCATTTGATGTGCTTTATCATGACAAACCAGAATATATATGGTTTAGGGGATGGGATCTCGACCATTTACAAGATATTAGAACTTTTTCAAATGGCAGGGGGTCGGGATGACCCCTGGGGACTAACCCTGTATATCATTCAAACCATATTAACATGACAAACCAGAATATATATGGTTTAGGGGTGGGGATCTTGACTCCTTAGAAGATATTAGAACTTTCTTAAATGGCAGGGGGTGGGGGTGACCCCTGGGGACTAACCCTGTATTTCATTTGATGTGCTTTATCATGACAAACCAGAATATATATGGTTTAGGGGTTGGGATGTCGACCATTTACAAGATATTAGAACTTTCTCAAATGGCAGGGGGTCGGGATGACCCCTGGGGACTAACCCTGTATATCATTCAAACCATCTTAGCATAACAAACCAAAATATATATGGTTTAGGGGTGGGGATCTTGACCACTTACAAGGTGTTGGAACTTTCTTAAATGGCAGGGGGTGGGTGTGACCCTTGGGGACTAACCCTGTATTTCATTTAATGGGCTTTATCATTTAGAACATTTTCAATTAAAAAGATTGTGTCTATCACAAACGGTTTTCAATTTATAATCATTTGAAAATTTAAAAAAATAAAATCCCACAGGGTTCTATAGTAAAACCCTCTTTTCTTTTTGCCCCTCAAAGTACCCCTTTATAAACCCCATTGCACAAACAAAACCCTGATTGCACCACTAGACATGTTAGTCTAACATATTGTGAAACCCTAAGTTAATCTGACAAGCGGTTTTGGAGAATGGGTGCGGACAAGTTCAAATTTAAAAGCGGCGGAAGAAGAAGAAGAAGAAGAAGAAGAAGAAGAAGAAGAAGAAGAAGAAGAAGAACTGAGCAAAAACAATAAGTTAATCTGACAAGCGGTTTTGGAGAATGGGTGCGGACAAGTTCAAATTTAAAAGCGGCGGAAGAAGAAGAAGAAGAAGAAGAAGAAGAAGAAGAAGAACTGAGCAAAAACAATAAGTCTTCCCAAACTTCGTTTGGGAGACTTAATTAGATTGATATTATGGGTCCTCGACTGTACCTGGAGTTCAAATCTTTGATCTACCTGGGAATATTCTTCAGTTTTTGTGATGCCATTTTCCTGATTTAGCAGCTCCAGTCTCGTGTCAGCTTCCGAAAATGCAAGTTATAGAAAAAATGAGACAGCGCAATTCATAGAAAATTGAGAGAGTGCAATTTAACAAAAAATCAACGTTTCAAACATTTCGGAGAAAGAATTAGATCCATTAAAAAAAGAGCTAATTGAAAAATTTCCCTGCTGTGGCAAAAATATGATAAAAGAACTTTAGTTGTATTGCTATGCCAATTAAATCAAAGCCGTTTTTAATAGTATTTTATATTATAAGCTATAAACGTTTCTACGCATGCATAATTATACCGAGATGGATGAAAGGAGATATGGGATCAATTTCAACTCGGTGCATTACATTTGCACTTACATTTGCACGTAAAAATCATTACATTTGTGCGCAATTTTTGTAATTTCGTTTGCTCACATATTTATGACATCTTCAACTAGACAGCTACCCGAACACACAAGGATCTTCGTACACAAATCCAGAGGTCTTTGGGACTTAAATTTCGTGGGAAACTGCTTTTTACACACCTCCAGACTCAAGGCACCGAACTGTTAAAAGGGCTAAGATAACGACATAACGACCGTTAATCTTTCTTTTTTCTTTATTTGGGGGAAAGGGGGGGGGGGGGGGGGTAGGGGGGGTGGGGGGGGGAGAGAAGAGGCATGTTTTCTTTTTTTAATTGCTTTATTCTAAATTTCTTGAAAGAGACATTATTTATTTCAGCAGAAAGCGAAAAAATAGTTTGTTTCCATTGAATATTAGAGAAAAATTAAAACAACAATGTGAATAAAAAAAATAATCTTCTTGTTGAAAAAAATGTTAATTTTTTATTAAAGTCGATAAATATGTTTGTCCTGAGCACAAGAAAATACACATGTTCCCGCCAACAAAAGATTAATAGCCCGTGCTTAACCGATCTGATTAAAATACAGATCCTTTGTCTATGCTTTGCTTACACTCCATTTTACTTTCTGATCTGGTAATTATTACATTAGCCAAAGAAATTTAAGCCTTCAAATTTTTGAAGGGTGTGTATCAATACGACAAAACCAGAGAATCCGAAATGTTCTTTAAAAGATGAAGTAGAATGGAGCGTTTTCGGACCATTGTAAGCAAAGCTTGGACACACAGAATATGTATTTTAATCTGATTGGTGCCTAACGGAACATAAAAAACTGCATTAATTTATTGTTTACTGAGCCAAGCTGGCTGGACTTTACATCTCAAGACCATTAGTGCTTCATCGTTATTAAAGCTTGAGAATTAAGGATGTTAAAAATATCTCTTTTCAAATAAAGTAGAAAAACAAAGGATATGGGGTATCCATCCATGACACAAAATCAGTACATGCACAGCAAAAACACACAAAAAGCAAAGAAACAGCGCTTTCAGTCCGGTTTTCCAACAGTAACTGCTTTTGTCATGCAGGCCTGTAAGGCTATGTGAGCTATTCTCGTCATTAAGCATACGTCGTTCGTACACATTCAGATTTTCACCTTTTTCTCTGAAACAACTCAGCCAATTTTAATAAATCTTTGCAAGAATAATGTATCAACATTCCTATACAAAAAAAAACTCATTTAGTTCCGATTGGTAAAAAATAATACCACCAGAGTCAATCTTTGAATTTGACTGGGCAATTTCAAATAAATCCTCTTCACTGAAAATGCAAAGCTATATGTTTGGAAACTCTACATGATTGATGATTAGGAAACCCCTTTCAACGATTATTATTTACTATTGATAGGTTGCCGATACTGGTCACTGTGGCACATAGTTTCCTTTGAAACGCAATGGGAAATAATATTAATAAACCACCTTTTCATTAAAAAATGCGCAGAATGTCAAGGTATATTCCTACATGTACTTCCTATTTCCACCAAATTTATTCCGGCGATGAACCCTATATGAGTAATTGGCTTTAAATAATAGTTTTTGGATAGAAACTGTAATCAGTTGAAATGGTGAGCAATACACAATCTACAGCAATGCCCAAATAGTTAGCCCTAGCTTTTTCATATTGATTTTGGATAAAGACTCGAGTATCTTGTTATCATGAATTTTAGCACATTTTATACATTCAAGGAAAAAATAATGTTTTGTAAATATTTGTCCCTCCAAGCATACCAAAATTGTGATCACTTGAAATAGTTTTCATTTCTCGATAACGTTTCAGTTCGGGGAGATTCAGTTTGCAAGGGCGGCTTTTTTTTTGCGTTTATCTTGAAAACTACAATAGATTTAAAACAAAAGGGGGGCTGGGGGATAAATTTGGAAAATTTGGGCTCTTATGAGTTTTGTTGTTTTATTGCCTATTATCTTGATGACTTATTTAGAGAGAAACCTTCCTTGCAAAATGGTAGGCAAGAACAGATTTACAAATAAATAATTAAACATTACTGAAATTATAAATCGACTATCGAGGGACAGGTCATTTTCTTTCATTGGGGGGACCTGGGAGGAAACATTGGAATTTCTCCTATTTTTACAACTCCCCACCTTGAAGAAGGAAACTAAATTCAAGACCACCACCCCCTTTTTTCCAAAGACATAGAAATTTCAACACCCCACAAGCACACACATTTCTCAATACTTCTGGTCGTTATAACAAAAAATGAATAAACTTTCTATTATAATTATGAAATATTGCACCAGTAATGGATCTAGAACTTCAATTGTGGAAGTTGTTTGCGACTTCAAAAAACTTTATTTGGTTATGCCGGTTATGGTCTCATTAATATTTAACACACCTTCATTCAATTTTAGTTTCAGATGAAAAATTCTCTCCTGGAAGAACATGTTGAAACTTATGATTTTTATCTTAAAAATTGAGTTGAGCGGAGCAAGCCAAAAATAAATTGATGTCTTTCGAGCCAAACTTTATATTTCGTTTACCGTTCTTAATTTAGTTACTGTAGTGTTTTGTACAATAGTAAGGCAACCTTGTAAAAATAACGTAAATGAGTAGTTTACTGAATACCTATTCAAATATTAACATGATAAAATCTGAATATGATATCATTTTTTTTTTGTCAATGCTTGTGCAGTTCTGTCATTATTCAAACTATTTTTTGAATTGAAAAACCCCTTTGAAAGAATCAGAAAAAAATGCAACTAAATGGACAGCGCAGAGATAGTTTTTTGTTGACATTTAAAAATCGGGTACATATAAATTGACTGTTTACCTTGCATTTGGTAGCAGTTTTACACGCATTATCATTATAACTGGAAATTCTTTAAAAGATAATCAATAAGTATTAAGATGACAGCCATGTGTTTAAGCTACGGGTAGCACAGCATTTAAGACAATGTTTTATTTAAACACATACATATATTTATCATAGTCGTAAATGTATAAGAGGGTCGGTGATACTTTCAGATCCTTTAAAGACCTTAGAAAATGTACGATATTTTTTTATGAATTACATGTACACCATAGGCAATCTAGTCTTAATTCCGTTTTGTTAGTGCACGGCAATCAGAAACAAATCAACAATTAAAACCTGTCAATCATTTTCAAAGTCAATACAAGATTTTTATGTCTGTAATAAGTCAATGTTTTGATTAGAAAACGGACTATATACCACCACATTGCCGTTCGTAACTATGGTTAGGTCAAAAACATTGAACGGTCTGAAACCTTATACTTTTCAAGGTCAATGAACCAGTACTGAACGTTTGTACTGATGTTTGTATTGAATATACAACATACTTCCAAAAAGAGAAAAAAATTGAACACCACTATCAATTTTCAATTACTTCCTTAAACACCGGAAAAAATTAAAAAGAAACATAAAAATTATGAAACCTTTGCATACAGCTTTAATGAAGTCCCTATATGTTATTTATCAACTTTTAAGGACACTATAGTTTATGATATGTAGTGCCATGTAGAAGTGAATTCATTCGAAAATATCATAAAAAAGTATTTGAGGTAATTATAAGCTGAATAAATCATCCTACGACTCAACTACAATACAATATCAAATAATGTCTAGTACTAGTACTCATTTGAATATTAGAAAATGTAATAAACACTGTACAATTGTACAATATGAATTTTTGAATAGATATCATGATATTGAAATTAGACAAGAAATGTTTTTGAGTGCGACAATTATTTAATTTCAGTGTGGTAAAATGCTGAAATGACAGGACCCATTAAAAACATAAGATAAAGGTATGCGTGAGTTGTTTACATTCAGTTACATTTTTCCGAATTTACAATATAGTACACAATTGCAATTTAATTAATACAAATTCATAGTTTCAGTAGAATCAATAATAATAAAGTGTCAAGGACTTCTTTTAACTATACACATAATAAATAGTCGTTTTCCCAGTTCACTATATATATGAAAAAAAATTTAGATATCCAGTAATCACAACAATGATATGTAACTATAATATGGTAACATTTCTTTCTGCATAATTTTGTTATTAAATCTTAATAATTCCATTTTTTTTTATGTTTAATGTCATTTTCCTTTAGGCATATATGGTTTGATTGCAGGTTTTTTTTTTATTCCACCACCATGCGAAAGGAAACGGTGCTTTTATCAGTTAAAATTAGCATTGATCTTGTTTAGATTAACTTTGTGCACTCTTTGTCTTTAGTCATTTTGTTAGTTGTTTTATGTTGTTACGTCACTGTAACTAGTAATAAGTATGTTAAGCGCTTGTTCACATGTCTTATTCCGTAACATTATTTATGTGCTTGTCAATGCTTAGTACTCTAGTATTCTTGTTTTTGATGAGATCTCCAATTTTTTTTTTAAGCATAAAGCAAGCAGTTAAAAATTTTGATTTCACATTTTTACGTTTATGCGATTTTTATAGATACAATGTGGTAGTACAGGTTTTGTTCATAGTTGAAGACCGAGTGGTCCCTTTGATCTGTGGAAGAAAGATGTCTAATTGGCTATCATAATACACCCCTGTACATAACAATGATAAAACAGAAGATTTTGACACAATTAAACGTTAATATTGACAGCACATATTATTCTATTCATTTTTTGCTTAAAAATGACATTATTGTGAAAATAATTTTAATTAACCGCTCTTATAAAGCATCCTTCAATGTCTTTCGATTTTCTAAAAGCAGTTTTCTGACATAATTCCAAGATATTGTTATTACTTCTCGCTTTCACTGTCTGTGTCACTGTCGGGTAGAGGGTCAGCACTTTGCGTGAAATCTATTTCAACATAATTAGTTTTGTCGTCAAGTCCATGAATTGTAAACGGATAAACTGGTTTCTGATCAAAGAGAATTTCAACGTAGTTTAGTTCCCTTGATTCCTATGAAGAAAACATAATCATAATAATAAAAAAACATGTCTGACGAGCAGTGAATAGAAAATTGTGTAAACTAGAACATCGGTTACATATGATAAAAATGAATGTCTAATCACTAATCGTGTTGTATATATTAATTTCATATCAGCAAGTAATAACTTCAAACTAGCTGTCAGGAACTACATGCATTCTTTAACACGGTTATATTTTGTTTATTATTTTTTGGGGGTGTTAAACTGTTTTTGTAAGTCAAGCCTTATGTGCATGTTTTCGAAGTTTGTTGTGTATTCTTCTTATTACCTTTTCTTAGTCCATTTTGAGATAAAACAACGCAAATAGGAAATGCTGAGATCTTAACTCTAACCCTTTCATATATCTAAAGCCATTCATCTTTTTTCAGTTATTTGTCTTACGTCATATCTTAATAGGTAAATGTTTTCGTGGTTTTTTATTTTGTTTTGAGAATTCAATGTTATAAAATACGATGTAAAGCGTTGTTTGTTGAAAAAAACTATATGTTGTTTGAGGCTGTATTTTGACCTCTATATGTCATTTGGTTATTTGTATCAATGGAAAGATGTCTCATTATGTTAACGGTACATCTCATTTAATAAATATATATCAAAGGTTCGAGTTAGTCAATATCTAACAACACATATTATATATATTGGTGATAATATAAAAGGGTATCAATTTTTTGTTTGCATCAGATGCACATTTCGATGATTATTGTGTCTTCAGCGAAGCTTGATGCTAAAATATATGAAAAGAGATAAGTAATAACAAATTGTCGTCTCAAATCTTCAAAGACGGTTCTGTGTAATACAGGTTGTACTACAATTGACTATAATGTGATTGGATATCTTATAAGTCATTTGGATTACATGATTGCGAACGACAAAATATTAAATTTCTTTTTATCTATTTATTTTGTCTTCGATAGAATATGGCAAGTAACATATGACATGACTACGTAAACGAACCTTTTCTCCCCGTTCTATTTCTGACGGACATTTCATGGATGCAAACTTGCTCACTCTGTTGACATCCTTACCTATAAAGGGGAAGCCAATTTATAACAAGATATAGTTAGAATTTCAAATTATTGCAAACCATCCACCTACTTAATGTGTCTTATTGCATATTTATCAAAACGTCTATAATTCTGGAAGTCCGAAGTTGTTCATATAACCAGATTTGTTTTAATTATTCAATACTTAACATTTTGATATCTCTACTTTTAAGAATAATTTTAAACGTATGTCATACACTTATCCATGAATTACCCTTAACCCGGAAATTTACTTTTATCCATTACCCATAACCAGGAAAAAAACCTTTTCTAAAATATTTTTCAAGAAAGCAAAATATGTTATAGTAGGTCTTTTGATAGGATATATAGTAAAGTAATAAATATTTTTTGATGAGCAGAATTATGATAATTGGAATAAAATGCACAAATATTGAATTAATCCTTATTTGTAAAGGGAGAATTCATTAAAAATTTGTATTTAATGTAAAGGGAGACAACTGCAACGAATTACTTTTTAACTGAAACGTATTTAAACCATATCTAGAAAATACAATATGTAAATATTGAATGCACAGCTTTTAAGGAGTATAGCCATTATAAAAAATAAAACAAAACACATATTTCAACACAAAAATACACGTCAAAGATTAAATTAACTATATAATAAATATTTATAAATAAATGAAACCCAAATGTAATATTATTTCCTTCAACAATCTTACAGCTTTAAAGTTCGAAACTAATTTTATTATAGTATAATTAAACGGGAAGAAATAGTTGTACCTCCGCAAACAAAGTTTTGATGTGTATATACACGAATAACTCTGTCTGTCCGTCGGCTTATCTACCGGTGTGTATTGTAAGCGCAACTTGCCCCTAAACGGCTGTGCAGATATTTTATGAAAAATTCCAAAGTTGTATAACACTACCTGATGATGTGCAGAAAGGATTATTATCCCGGTCTAACATGTTAAAGTTGAAAAAATTAAATCTTCTTTCTTTTATATACAAATAGTATTGTACGGCAGGGTATCCTTTTTGGGTTCACTCACTCACAGATCCAGTCTTTATCGAAAAGTAATATATCGATATCCTTGAGTGATATATATTGCATCAAAAAAAAAAAATATCATGCATATAAGCGTATGACTGTTATTTGTTTTAACTCATATTAACATGGTTATTGTCATCACTTGGCTCGTGAGCGTCGTCGTCGTCGTCTTCGTACATTTGTTCGATAAGATTAAAAGATGTGTCGAAACTGTAAAATGATCAGCAATGAAAAAATATTTTTGACATGTGAGCTGTTCAGGCTCTTATGAGACACTTGTTCATTTTAGGCAGCTTGCAATTTTAGTTTGACGAAAAAAAAACTCTTATCCGAAAAATGCAGGAAAAATATTTTCTCTCGGAAATGAATGACAGACTAAATAGCTGCTTCTGAATATAGTGTAATATTCTACTCTATTCCAATACTCCTATCCTAGAAATATGAGTAAGTAGTCTTTTGACGGAAATTCAACCAACAGCTGGGTTTTTATTTTCAAAATTATAAAAAATGCAATTTCTCCGTCCCGCCAAACCCTCAGCCCCAAGGAAACGACTCACTATATAGAGATACACTAAAACTTATTAACACGTAACTAGATTACAGCTTCATCTGACAAATTAAGTTTGTAATATAAAAAAGTTTTTAATATTTAATTATGTGTGGATACTACGCTCAAATGATTTTACATTTTGAACAGCCAGTCATGCCGAGAGGTTAATTCTTTTAGAACTCAGTAATTTCTTTACGGCACATATTGATTAAGAGACACTAATTCATATAATGATACAACCATGCTATACTTATTTAGATTATATCTTATATTGATGCTTTCAGTTGTCTCTCCTTTCTGTTCAAATATGACACAATATTATTTCTTATATTCTTTGCAACTACTCACATCATAATTTTTGAATACTCAATAGTTCTAAACGGACATTCGTTTGGACGGGTTGATTCCTAAATACCATCAAATTCGTTTGCAAGGCATATACAAATACGTCACATTACACAGAAATACCGATAAAACAATGCAATATTTTTTGGATAATGCTTTTCTTTGGAAAAAGTCTGAAAATTGTATCCTTCGATTTAACTTTATATGTCATTACCCTTATCCCGGAAATACTCAGTGTTATACAGTGTAATACAGTGTTACTCATATTCTGAGAAAACTTGTCCTTTCTGAGACTTCTATAATATTTGTGTTATAGAGACTCAGTTCCTATATACGTTCAAACTTTACAAAACGTACAAAATGTATCCATACAACACAATTTGCAGAAATAACGATTAAACAATGTTATACTTATTTATATAAAAATAAGCAGATGTGGTATGGTTGCCAATGATACAACTCTCCACCAGAGACCAAATGACATAAAAGTTTACAACTAGGGGCCACCGAACGGCCTTCAACAATGAGCAAAACCCATACCGCATAGTCAGCTATAAAAGGCACCGAAATGACAGATGTAACAATTCAGACGAGAAAACTAACGACCTGTTTTATGTACAAATTAATGAACGAAAAACAAATATGATATACAGCAACAAACGACAACCAATGAATTAATTACAGTCTCCTGACTTAGGACAGGCACATACAGAATGTTAGCATGTTTAGAGTTTACCATTACCTGAATTAGTCTGAAATATTAAGACTAAAATTTTATTTTAAATGCCGGTACTCTTATTTTGGAAATATGTTATGAAGTTGTATATTTGTTGCAGAGAAAGTGGTTAGTAGGTGTGATGCTTTCAGTTATCTTCCCTTTCTTTTCAAAATGACACAGTATTGTTTTTATCTTCTGTGAAAACTGCTCAAAAGGAATAAAAAATCGTGATAAAGGATTAAACAGTGCTTGATAAGGATTTTAATTCGAATTCAACGTAGATTTAAGGAGGTCCATGGCTTCCGTAGTACATAGACTAAGTCTTTCCTTCAGTAATTTTAGGATTGTTTATACGAATGCTTAATACACAGCCGTCACTCGGTTAACCGAGAGATTGGTCGGTTAATCTACCTGAGTATGCGGCTATATGAACGGTTGGTCTGTTAATCGGGTTGGCTAAAGTCTGTTAATCAGGTGTTATCTGGAAAATCATTGCTAGGTCAGTATGTTTCATTGTATAACTTTTTAAATATATTTTTATCATAAAAACTATATTCATGTCTGCCAAAAGAATTCAGTGTAATGAATCCAGCGGTGTAATTATTTTTTTTCTAGCTTCGATAAACGATCTATAAAATGAAAAGGCGGGTTACTCATCAATAAATTTATACATATTTTACACACACAAAATGTACACAAAATGACAAGTTGGTTGAATTTACTTGCATGCAATATTTTGAACATCGAAAAAAGACAGGCATTATGTTTGTTAACCATATTAATATCATTATGTGAAAAATCTACACAAAAATCTGTATTTTGGTGACATAAATCAATTTTAATTAAAAACCTGGTCTGTTAATTGGTCGGATGTATAAAACCCGGTCTGTTAATTGGTCTGTTGGGAGTTATGAATGGCAATAAAAGTATAATTTGATTGCTATATGGGGTGTTATCGGAACAAATGGGTAGGCTCAAGACGAGTGGCAAAAATATACGGAAACAACACATGAACAATGAAACATAAATTTAGACAATGGAAATTGAAAATTTATAAAAATGGTTTCAAAAAGTGTACTATTAAAGTAATATTAATTTCATCCAAGAATGGTCGCATATATCATTTGGATTCTGTTTCATTGTTATGAATGACACCAATTTGTCATCTACATTGGTAACCAGTATATAAATCAGAGATAAACTTCGTAATGTAACTAAACATCAGTAAGTAAAATGTTTTTTAAAAATTTTAGCATGAAGAGAAAAAATAAAAATCACAGTAACAGAAAATGTAGATGGAAGAAATCTAAAGCTAATTCATCTGATGTTCCAGCTGATGACACCGTTCTTAAACTTATTGATGATGATGATGATAATGAAGAAGATGATAACGATGATGAAGATTATACTGATGCTGATGACTACGACGATAATGTTTTTGGATGATGATGATGATGATGATGATGATGATGATGATGATGATGATGATGATGATGATGATGATGATGATGATGATGATGATGATGATGATGATGATGATGATGATGATGATGATGATGATGATGATGATGATGATGATGATGATGATGATGGATTCAGAAGTCTTCACTTTTAAACATTTTTTATCAAATGGACTGAAATGTTTATAATTGCATACAAATTAAACAAACCTTTCAACATCAACCTTTCTCTAAACCACCTTGAACGTCACTCGATACAAAAACAAGCACGTTTGCGGACTGCTAGTCGGCTAAATAATTTACAATGGAAATACATCATTACTCGAAAAATAAAATTAATATAATGCATTTGTTGTGATTTCCAGGAAAATAAAATATTCTTTTTGTTACACATTAAAGTTAATCAGCACCCAACACAAATATTGATAGAAAAAAACTTACTAATGTCAATTTATAGTTTAGAACCACGTCTTACTAACGAATAGAAAACAACGGTCATATTCCTTACTTGGTACAGACATTTCCTTAGGCAGAAAATGACAATGATGACAAGGTAGAAAAGATAATATCGGAAAACGCATGGAATTTAACCAGCTGCATTGCAACACATGACAGATTCATAGATGTTGCAGACTTTGAACAGACAAAAAAAATAAGGCTAATTGAAAACGTTAACAATAAATTCATGCATATTCCAGCGGCCAATCCATATCACGCTATATTTAAGTGACACACCCTTCAATAAAATGCAAAGAAAGTCAAAATAAAAATGCTCTTACAAGAAGGATACTGTTGCACCGTATTGTCATTTTTTTACTCAAGTACATCTCATTCTTAACTTTTTCAATGGGAAAATATAAAGGTAGCAAAACTATTATCGTGGCTAAATAACTCTTA